AAAAAAAAAAAAATTGAAAAAATTGAAAAAATGGGACGGCGGGTAATGCAAAACGAAAAATCAACTTTGCGTGGCCTAAGGCACATTTATTGATTTCTTGTTGTTCCATAACAACAGCGGAGGCGGCAGCGATTTATTGCCTATCAGTTATTAAGGATCACAAATTAAAGGAAGGAGGTTGGTATTTAAAATGTTATTTAATGTTAATACAATTAGGTCATTGTTTCCCGATTTGTAGTTTTAAGCGGTCTTGCAAGTGATACAATCCAAAAAAAGAAACTTCTTATGCAGATCATGAGGCAGTTTTGCAAAAATTTTAGTATACATATTCAATTTCCTAATCCTAATACCGTGAACTCGTGTAGGGGACACCTGAAGGGGCACAAGATAAATCCAAATTACTGTTGTGCATATAAACCCCAACTTTCAATTATAATGCTAATTATGGTCATTGTTGTGCACATAAGCACCTAAAGCGTGCCCATAACTTTCCCTCACTTGAAGAACACTTAACCCAATGATCAATAAATATCATGAAAACATTTCCTGACCTAAACTATAGCCCTACCTTAACTCTAAACTAATCTTAACCTGGGCCAAAATGATTTTATGATCACTTGGTTAACTGATATTAAATTTCCCTTGTAAATTTGTGATGTCTTTAAAGCAAAGATTTGGTTAAGCTGGAACCAATAATGAAACAATCGACCACTGTTTTATCAATACATTGTTTAGTTTCAGATTTATTTGCATTTTAGCTGATAATTATTAATTTTCGTAGATACATTTCTCGTCGTTGATTGCGGTGGTGGAATAGTCAATCTCACAATGAGAGCTCTACTATCGGGCAATAAATTAGAAAAAGAACCAGTAGTAACTGGAAGCCTATGTGGAAGCACAGATGTTGATCAAGAATTCTTAGATTTTATGGGCCGCACAGTAGGTTTTACCGCTTTACAAAGGCTACGATCATATGCTTACGGTGATTTGCAAAAACTTGTTCATAGGTTTTTCATTGAGACTGTAATGCTTCCGTTCACCGGAGATCCTGACGAATTTGAGACCATTGAATTGGATCTCAAGAGATATTGCCCTTCATTGATTAAATATACTACAGGGGCAGAAAGAATTAACTTAGAAAATAATGAATGGATTATCGAATTAGAGTTTGAGACAGTGACAAAAATGTTCGATCCAGTAATCGGAAAAATCATTGAGTTAATTAATAACCAATTGTTAGGCCTTACAACAAAACCAGTAAAACGCAAATGTAAGGCAATGTTTTTGATTGGAGGTTTTAGTTAATCTCCATATTTAAGCAAACGAGTTCGAGAAATGTTTCAAGAACGTGTACCCATTATTGCGTCTCCCCCACAGCAAGCGGCAACCGTCGTTAAAGGCGCTGTAAAATACGGATTAGATATGTGCCAGGTTGAAAGTCGAGTTTTGAAATGACATACGGTGTAGAGATAATGGAAGATTTTGACATTCATAATGATACACTTGACCTCCGGTAAGTTATATTATAAATTAATAGTAATTTAAATTTGTGAATTCATCGTAATCAATGTCAGTTCTTGTAATATTTTAGAACCAGTGATAATAAAATAGTGAAGTTCAACCCTCTTGCATATCGTGGGGGATGACGTTAAAGTCGACCAGACTTTTGATAGTGTATTTAAACCATTATATGATGACCGAACTGTGGCAGAATTTCGCGTATACATTACAAGAGAAGATGGAAATAAAAGCCATGGCTAGAAATAAGTTAACAGGTGAAAAATATCATGCAACTTTCAAGTATGATGATAAGTGTAAAAAGTAAAGATGTATATATTACCGTTCATGGATTTAATTTTTTTTTTTGTATGAAAGATAAATATTCATATCCATTATTTTAAAAATTAATAAATCATTAATGTGCTCAAAATAAAACTTCGTTATTTCGTTATTTCAAAGTAAAGAATGATTTGTTGTATAATTATAATGCCGAGTGATGTTTACGTGTATAACGTGTCTATTTATATTGTTTAGTTTAGGGCTTGATTATACAGTATGGATATTTCTATTGGTTGTATTAAGTAAGCTATTGTGTAATAGCCTATTACAAAGGTATACTTTGCATTACTTGGGTCGATCTTTATGATTCATTTTATTGCGGTTTGCAAATTTCACATAATTTTGCAAATTGATTATCCCATGACTCCTTAATGCAATTGCATTATTTTTTCTCGATCATTAATGATTTATGTAAGCAAGTGATTCTTTGCATCTTTTCATTATATTATATATTTTTCCATGTGCATCTGCAATTTTTGAATCACTTATTTAAGTCACCAAGTAGTTCCTTATATTTGCCCATTTTGCCTCACGATTTCTCAACAGGAACGCATCATCTGGATCAATTTCTAATGAATTATTAGAATATTACTAACTATAGCCGGCGGTGATTATCACCAGGATGCCATATCTCAAAAATCTACTAGCTAATTCACTTCAGGGGTACTAAGCAAAAATGTTCGGAACCCCCAAAACCTATCCCTAATTAAAATTTGAACCTTTATATCTAACCCACCTTACCCTAATCCTAAAAATAAGAGGCGGTGATAATCACCGCTGATTATTTGTAGTAAAACTCAATTATTTTACAGCTATTATCATAATTCCTGGAACACCTAATAACATTTGCCGAATGATTTTTCGGCCGATCCGGTTAAGTTATTGAATTCGGCATGATTGGTATATAGATTTTAAATGTATATAATACGTATCATACTTGTTCTACAGAAAATTTTATCATTATACTATCGGCACATTCAACGTTAGTTTGTACGAAAATTTATGAAAAAGATTTTCTTGTTAACCAATAAATCTTAACAAGAAATATAAAAAACACGGATATAAATTTATAAAATAGAAAAATTAGATATAGATAAAACACAACTGTTTAAATTGTAATGCGACTAATTTTATATCCCGACCAAAGTTTCATTTCGGATTGTAATTCATAAAAATATTAAGATATCTCCCACGAAAATGCCTTATTCCATGTCTACAACTGTCCTGTGAAAATACTAGTTTAAACTAAAATTATAAATTATTTTTATATATATACAATAAACTAATTATCTAATTAAAATTTTTTATAATGCTATCATAATATTCATAATATTATAATATAAGTATTTAAGATAACTTCCAAACCTTCCAAAATACGTATAATGATGTCGGCTCATTTTAGATGAATAAACTTGGAAAAATTTTTTTAAAAAATCTATTATTTTACTTTATATATCGATACGCCCAGACACGGATATTCGGAAGATCATCTGTCTACCATAGTTAGCACCAAAATTTGTCATTGTTTACATTTTCGTCGTGAGAATTTTTAACAGTTTACCCACGAAAGATAACGATAGATGATCACAACTTTTAATTAGAAAGTTTATAGAATCTGAAAGTAGTCACCGGTAAAACCATATAAAGCTCTTATCAATGAAAAGTTGAAATCCAAGAACAAAACAGGAATAATATGAAGTCTTTAAAGTTAATTACTTACTGTACTACTCTTCGATACATCACAAGGTTTTTCAACTATAAATTTAAGCCATGTTTTTCCACTATCAAATTAATTATCTGCCATGGGTTCTTTTCGTCGCCAACAGTCGGATGATATAAGAGTAGTCGTTGGGATTGGTATCTTACTGATATTCGTTTTATTAGATTTATTAATTAAAGTGACATTTAAACCAATCTTTTTTTATGAAAAGATTTTGGGACAACAAACAGCGGTTTCGCTTTTGCACAGAGGATTTCTCCCCAAGAAATTGAGATAAATACGCGATGGTAGTCTTAAAATCATCATTATTTGTCACATATAAATAATAATTTACTATTGAACTGATTACAACATTATGTTGCTGAAAGATTCAAATTATATCTAGACGATAATGCATCAGACAACCTATATTTACCACCAAATTTGGATTATAAAAAAGCTATTAGTGATTATTTAAATCAAATGAAACGAGTGAGTAACTTGTAAGCTTTAAGAAAATTCTCTTTGAACATTGATCAGTTACGATTAAATAATGTAGGTCATAGAAGTAACGCTTGATAAGCGTTGGCCAGGCCTTAAATTATCACAAGTACTATTTGTTTTATGTGTGCCTGCGAAATGGGTAATTATTAACTTGTCAAAAATTCAGAAGGCAAGCGAGTCATTAACACTCGATTCCTTTATTTTTTATTTTATTATTAGAGATCGTATTCTAAAGCTATAATGCGCGATTGCGCATACAAAGCTGGATTGTAATAAGTTTTATGTTTTTGAATTTTAACTATAACTTGTAACCTTATTTATCGCCTACAATTAATTACAGATTAAACGAATCCATCGCATCGCGCCTATTATTTATAACAGAATGTAATTATCTTTATTTCGTATCTTGTTTAACGATGAGGTATGTTTATTGATTTCTTGTTCCATAACAACAGCGGAGGCGGCAGCGATTTATTGCCTATCAGTTATTAAGGAACACAAATTAACAGTAGGGGGTTGGTATTTAAACTTGACGTGGTCATTATTTCCGGGTTTGTAATTTTGAGTGGCCTCGCAAGTGATACAATCCAAAAAGGAGACTTTTTATAAGACCAATTTTGCAAAAATTTTAGTATACGTATTCAATTTCCTAAGGACACCTGAAGACAAGATAAATCAAAACTACTGTTATGCATATAAACCCCAACCTCAATTCTAATGCTATTATGGCCATTGTTGCGCACATAAGCACCTAAAGTGTTGTGCCCATAGCTTTCACTCATTTGAAGAACACTTAACCCAATGATCATGAAAACATTTCATGACCTAAACTATAGCCCTACCTTAACTCTAAACTAACCTTAATATGACCCAAAATGATTTTGTGATTATCATTTGGTTAACTGTTATTCAAATTTCCCTTATAAATCTGCTTGATAATGTGTTTATTTTATTGTAATGTCTTTAAAGCAAAGATTTGGTTAAGCAGGAACAAATAATGAAACAATCGACCACTGATTTATAAATGCATTGTTTAGTTTCAGATTTATTTGCACTTTAGCTGATAATTATTAATTTTTGTAGATACATTTCTCGTCGTTGATTGCGGTGGTGGAATAGTCGATCTTACAATGAGAACTCTACTACCGGGCAATAAATTAAAAAAAGAAACAGTAGAAACTGGAAACATATGTGGAAGTACATATGTAGATCAAGGATTCTTACATTTTATGGGCAGCACAGTAGGCTTTACCGCTTTACAAAGGCTACGGTCATATGCTTACGGTGATTTGCAAAAACTTGTTCATAGGTTTTTCATTGAGATTGTAAAGCTTCCGTTTACCGGAGATCCTGACGAATTTGAGACCATTGAATTGGATCTCGAGAGAGATTGCCCTTCATTGATTAAATATATCACAGGGGCAGAAAGAATTAACTTAGAATATAATGAATGGATTATCGAATTAGAGTTCGAGACAGTGAAAAAAATGTTCGATCCAGTAATCGGAAAAATCATTGAGTTAATTAATAATCAATTGTTAGACCTTACAATAAAACCAGTAAAACGCAAATGTAAGGCAATGTTTTTGGTTGGAGGTTTTAGTGAATCTCCATATTTAAGAAAACGAGTCCGAGAAATGTTTCAAGAAAGTGTACCCATTATTGCGTTTCCTCGACAACCAGTGACAGCCGTCGTTAGAGGTGCTGTAAAATACGGACTAGATATGGGCCAGGTTGAAAGTCTAGTCTTGAATGAAAGTACGGAGTAGAGTATGGAAGATTTCGACATTCAGCTTGGTAAGTTATATTATAAATCAATAGTAATTTAGTAATTTGTAAATTCAGTACTTCTTATCCTAAAAATCGATTTATTTCACTAGAACTTGGATTAACTTTGACACAGTGGAAATAAAAAATATAAATTAACGGGTAAAATATATTATGTACCTTTCGAATTAGTTGTTAAGGGTAGAAAATAACTATATTTATATTACCGTTCAAGGATTTTATCTTTTTTAAATATTCATACTCATTATACATATTCATTATTTTAAAGATTAATAAATTATTAATTTATGTTTTATGAAATGAGATTTTTAATAAAACCGTAACCATTTTTTGTTTCTAAAAAATGATTTGTTGTATAATTATAATGTTTACAGGAATTCACGTATATAAAGCATCTATTTATGTCTATGTTTTTATTATATTTAATTGTAACAGCATAGCAGTTAGCCAATACTTTCAGTTTTAGGGTTTATTTTAGAAATCTAGAAATCAAAAAAATGAGCGATTACGTTAAAAGTGTTGTAACAGCGTATGTCGTAATAAGCGACATTTGTCACTAGTCACAACTAAGTCTTTAACCATAACTCTAATATTAGAAATGAGTGTCGTTAAAAGAAAACCCGAAAATTAAATATGACTTATATTTAAATTTTCGGGTTTTTTTTAGCGACACTCAAATGATGATTTATTGGTATATGTGAGTGCTGTCAAAGTAAAACTTGTAAATTGTAAATTTAAAACCCCCGATTACAAGTTTTCCTTTCGCGGCACTCATATGCATTTACAAAGTAAACCAATTAAACCTTTAATAATTCTTTAAAGAATTTGAGGTGAGCGCATCTAATCAATAACCCTTTATATTATCAATCTTTTTTCAAGAATTTACATTCCGTAATAAAGAACAATCTACAAGTCATTCACATTTTAACGAAACTGCCATTCTATTAGTAAAAATCTTAAAAAACTCATCAAAAGTTTATTAATAAATTCGCTAATTTGAGAGAATTTCAACAGATTGGTTTTGAATATAGCCTTATTTTTTTGGCCGTCATATGAAATGAATAATTGGTATCATCAGATATTGTGGCAAATGTATGAAGTTAACACATAAATCATTATGACCAATTTTACCAAACCCGTTGTTACATAGGATTTTTGTCACTTGACCTTACAGATATCCATGGCAGTAGATCACCTGATTTTAAACACAACGCGAAGATATTTGTTACGGTCTGGGGAGAGGCTTTCAATCCTGGTTACCAAATTTAGCTTTAGACCGTAAGCATGCAAAGGTAATTATTCAGTTATCTGCTTGCTTAGTCGTGCGTCTGGTGGTTTTTAAGAGCACGTGGAAATTTAGGACTTGTAATATACATTTTGGGTCGGTTGTGCTATTTTATGTTTTATGATTAATAATTTTGCAGGTAACTTTTTAATTTGGATCTATACTGGTATGATTTTCGATAATTAAGAGTTACTTATTTTGGAAGCAAATGAGTTTTATTATTTATTATTTATTTACATTGAGAAGATTATGTACAAAATTATATGATAACGTTCATTCCTTCCTTCTGTCAAAAGCCAGCTTCTTATATACTTCTTTGCTCTATCCTTTCCTACGGTTCTTATAATGAAAAAAATGAAGTAATTTTCAAACAAAATTATGAAATATGAAGTAACAATTACAAGACAACCAAGAAAATGGGGTAATATTTAACTAGTGAATGCGAAATGTTATGGACTTTAGCACATATCGATATGTATATACGTATAAAGCATCTTCGATTGAAAAAAAAATTGGAAGGCTTATCGGCTCGGAAATTGCTAACACTTAAGTATTAATAGAAATTTTATAAATTTATAACACAAACATTAATTTTTGAAATCTCATGAGTTTTATTTTTTAAACAAGTCGACAAATTCTTGATTATATCACTTTTTTAATATTAGCACCTATTCGGTAATATGTTTATTCTATAATATTTAATAAATGTCTTCACGATAATTTCAGTATTTATGCATTTTGAGAGTCTGGTAACTCACAAAAAATTTTCCGGAACGTGATTTTTAGCCAATTAGATCGAAGGATCAGGTGTAACGTAAATCGAATTAAGCGAAAGATTTTAAAGTAATAATAAGGTCGAAGGAGGATATAGTTTGTACAAGAAATTTTTTTTATTAGAACGCAGAAGGCAAAATTTCGAGTTATTAGCGATTTTTTTAAAAGACGCGGTTTTCACGTTATACCTGATCCATTTATCTAATTGGTTAAATTCACGTGCCGGAAAATTTTTTGTGGGTGAGCTACAGGGGCGGAGGATCTACGGACAGTTCTTAGGGACAGATTAAATCACGTGAATAACTAGTTAGGGATAGTTAGGGACAGTTAAGGTTAGTAGTAGAATGTCTAGGATTATGCAGTGATTTAAGCCAAATTATGCATGCGGCGAATTACAAATTATGCAAATTATGCGAATTTTTTGCTTAAATTATGCTTATAATTATGCATTATATTACAAATTATGTAAAATATGCACTTTTGCTATTTATCTTTTATTATTATTAATCATCAATTTTAGCTAATGAAATTTTACATTATAGTATTGTATTTGAATAATATTACCTGTATTGTATAATATTTTATACAGCTCTATAATTTTAAGGTAAAAAATATTTGTAATTATTATAAATAAGCTATACATTTGTTTTATAACTGCTAATAACTGTTAATAACTATAGTTGTTGATATTTTATATATACTATATTATTAAGTATATGAATGTCTCCAAAAATTTAAATATAAATTATATTTAAATTTTCAGGTTTTCTTTTAGCAACACTCATATTATAATCTGAATTATAAATTATAAAAAATAAGTATAGTCAACTCTGTTTATAATAAACTGGCAAGTCTTATAGTAAAAATTTTTAAAAAGTTTATTATATCAGTCATACGATATATCACACCTAATTTTTTATATATATAAACCTATAACAAAAACATATAAAATTACATATAAACTTTGAAACCTGATAGTTTCTTCATTTACATATTACAGTCTGGGAATATACCAAATTTGGTCATCGATGATTTTACCTTATTTGGTAAATGATCATCAGTCGGATGATTCTAGATTTCATGGCACATGAACATGAACCAATCAAATTAA